CTGTGTAGACTGCACACGTTTCTATCTGCTGCTGGCCGCTTCTTCACAGTCTTTTCCCTAAATACTTTCTCTTGGGCTGGGATGGAGCTCCACGGTGGAGCTCGCCCTGGGTTCCATCCCCTGCCCTGCAAAAGAAAATCTACAGAATAGACACATTTCTCTCTGTCTTCCTGCAGTTTTTTTTTTTAAACACCATCTAAAGTACCCACAGTCTTCAGCAGAGCAGCCCTCAGCATTGTAGACAAAAGGTGAAGGGGAGGATCCCAGCCCTGGGTGCAGTGCCACACTGGGGTCCCAGCCTCTGAGGCTGCAGCAGGAGGACCACCTGAGCCCATCCCGCTGCCTCCAAAAAGAGAAAGAGTCGAGGTCACTTCCATCACCTTCAGGATCAAGAGTCTAGGCCTCCTCCCCCAAGTCAGGTGCCCTGGGAGCCAGGCCTGCGGGGACTGCCAGCATCGTGTCTGTTTCACTCATACTCCATAAGGCTTGCTTCTGTTGCCGTGACCCCTCCCTCCAGCCAGCTCCAGCCCCGGGGAATCTGTACCTCCCCCACTTGCTGCTGGGTGTGAGTGGATTCCAGACATGATGGCGGCTGCCCAGGTCTGCACTACTTGGCATGCACCTAAACACCAGGGAAGAGCCCTTTTCCAAACCCCTCGATACCAACGGCCTCCCCTGGGAGTGATGGGCAGCAGACATAGGGGCTCTGGCTGCAGGGGATGACATCTGCTCAGGCAGCTGCAGCCCTGCGTCAGGGAATGGGGACCAGAGGCATTACCAGGTTGGGTGGCCCCCATCTCAGTTCAGGGAGAGCCCAGGCCTGTGTCCAGCTCCGAGGCAGGTATGGCCAGTGGCGAGGACTTGGGCTGGCACTATGGCCCACGTTGAGGAACCTGAAGCTATTGCCCCTCCACCTGGACAGGGTGCCCTTTGGGGCTGTCACCCTTCCACCTTGCGTGGCCCCTCTTCCCTCCTGCCATTAAGTCTTCTCGGCTGTCCTGGGAGTCCCAAAGTCCTTCCCATTCACCCTGGGTGCCCCGTGTGGGTGCTCCCCCTCCCCCTCAGCTGTGCTGTTCCAGCAGGTGGCTGGCCCTCCAGGGCTATCCAGCAGGCTCCACTCCTGCTGATGCTCTGCCTGACCTTCCCAGGTGTTCACTTCTCTTTGATCAGTGCAGGGCGCACATCACACGCCGTCTGGCCCAGGAGCCCCCCATCTGCAGGTCCCAGACCCAGAGGCCCTCCCCACAGAGCCTGGCCCCACTGGTGGGGTACAGAGCCTCATGGCGGCTGCTCTTCCTCCAGACCTCCCCCCAGCCTGGAGGACAGCTTCCTCGTTTGCCTTCCCCAAGCCTGCAGAGCTCAGGACCTCCTCCCCAGCTCTGCTGGCAGAGGACCAGCCCGAGGCCCATGCCTGCAATGCGAGCAGCTCAGGAGGCTGAGGCAAGCTTAAGGCCAGCCTGGGTCGCTTAGACCCCATCTCAAAATAAAAAGGGCTGGGGGTATAGCTCAGTGGTGAAGAGCCCCCCTGGGTTCAATCTCCATGGAGAAAAAAAAAAAGAATGACAAAAAGAAAGGAAAAAAATTATGGGTTCATATTAATGTTTCCAATTCACATTTTAAGATTATAGTGACTTTTTACTTATACACTTGGACTTTACCTCATTTCTCTTAAGCTGAAAACAGTGGTTTATCACAGCACTATTTGCTTTATCCTACAGGATAATATAATTCGTTCAAAATAATAATAGTTACAATAAGGACTGCTGTTGAAGTTTGATATTTTGGGGAGCTACTCTATACTTTTCCCATTGAAGGCATAAAATTAAAATATGATACAATTGGAATAATTAATTTCTCTTTGTGCCTAAGTCACCAACACAGCTGTTCAGTTTAGAAAAGGTCTCCTGCCTGGGGTCAGTGCTGTCCGGGCAGCTGTATGCATGTCCACATGCGGGAACTGCCCATGCTCCCTAGGCTGCCAGCTGCACTGGGGGCAGCAGGACCTGCCCATCCTGCAGTCCCCAGGCCAGAGCGTTTCCCTGGCTTCTTGCAGTCTGATCAAGGCAGACTTCAGTACAGGCTTGCCTGGCCAGCTCAGAGGTGGCCCTTCCTCCACAGAGCTGGCCTTGGCACCACAGCTGCCCACCCCTGGACCACAGGGACTGCTGTCCAGCTTGGATCTGGGCCAAGCTAATGGGTGGGAAATGAAGTCCTGGGGGTAGTTTTGGTCTGCATTTCTCTTATATTTTTTTTTCTTGACTTTCAGAGCTCATGAACTCTTGAATTGGAATAATGACGCTAATGTCTTTCTCTTAAGTCACCCTTTTTAGATTGAGATAACATACACATTACATAAAACCAACATTCTGGCATCTTTTTTTTTTTTTTTTAGTTTTAGGTGGACACAGTATCTTTATTTTTATGTGTTGCTGAGGATCAGACCCAGTGCCTCATGCGTGCTAGGTGAGTGTTCCACCACTGAGCCGCAGCCACAGCCACAGCCCCACATTCTCACATCTTAAAAGTGGCATTCAATGCTGTCGTAATACTATGCCTCCACTCTCCTTCCAAAGATCCTCACCCCAGAAGGGAGCCCACGCCAGCATCCTCACATGCCTGCCCTGGGCCCGGAGGGCCGTGGGCCTTCTGCGGCTGACATTTTTTCCAGTTTGTGTTGTATTTATTGCTCCTAGATTTAAAATCTCATGTAGGCAATTCCGGTCACTCCCCAGTTATTAAGGATCCGCAGTCCCCTGGCCTTGCTTGGTGGCAGGGGTCAGTGTCAGAAGCTGCCTCCTCCTGTGGTGGGGAGAGGCCACCTGCCTTGAACTCAGTTCCTGGGCATGGAGGTCAGCTCCTGCCCTGCCCCTTGTCCTGGAGCCGCCTGCTATGGTCTTGGAGTGGCTGCCAAGGGGGCTCCCCACGTCTCTGTTCCAGGGTGGTCCAGGCTATTTTCACTCCTCTCATGATCTTTACAGTCAGCTTGTTTAGATTTGTGGGACTTAGATTTGTCTGCTGCTTTTAGAAGGGTTGTGTTTGAATCATGGCTGGTTTTTGGCCCCCAGGATTGTGTTTCTCTTTCTACCTGTTGATGTCCACTTCGAGGCCCTGAAGGTATTCCTGGTCTTCCTCACATTGGGCTCACGTTGCTTGTTCCACTGATGCTGAGTCTGTCACTGCCAGGATGGGTCATCTCTTCCTCCATGTCCTCTGGCTGGACCCGCAGCCAGGCCACTGTTCTCTGCCTCTTGAAACTGCCACTTCTCTGGGTCCTTAGCACGGAGACATTCTTGTGCTGGACTCAGACCACAGGCTTTGCTCCAGGAAATGCAGATGGGAGCCTGCAGAGCCGCACAGCTCCTCCACCCTGCACCCAGGCTGCTGTCCACAAGACAGGCAGTGCCAAGACCACCCAGCTGGTGGCCGTGCAGAGGCAGTGCGCACCCTGAGCTGACTTCACACAGCTGCCAAGAGGCCTCTGGAACCCTGTGCATGTTGCCAGGGGCTGGGGGATGTGATAGCAGCAGGTGGGACTTCCCAGGATGGGAAAGGGGCCAGGACAGCAGCAGGGGCCCTGAAGGAGGGGACAAGGTGAGGATGGGCTGCAGAGACCTGAGGGGTTCGCTTCATCAGGAAGCCAGCAGGGCTAGAGGACCTTGAGAGTCGGCTGTCTCAATCCTGTGCTGTACAGAAGGGAAACTGAGGTCATGTGTCCACCTGCCAGCACAGTATCCTGTGGCCCAACCTGGAGAAGGTCCCCGCATCAGAAACTCAGGCAGTGTAGGCCTGCCTGGGACCCCACCCCTGCAGTGAAGCCGGCCTGGAAGCAGCTAGACAGAGGGAGCTAGAGTGGAAGAGGCCCAGAGGACAGCTGCAGAGCAGCCTGGCCTCAGTTCCTAGTGTGTGTGTGCACATGGGAGCCTCCGGTAGCACAGGAGCAGAGGACGGCACCCCCAGGAGGTCTCAGAGGCACCCACACTTGACTGTCCAGTGAAACCTCTCATGGGAAATAGCTGCCAGCCCTGCCCTCGAAGGCCCCAGACAGAATTCCAGGTGTGCAAAGTCCAGGGCCGTGGACCCTACTGGGGCCTGACTAGTGGCACCAGTGACCCATGGCAATGTCCTGTGCATTTCTACTGCCCATCACACCCTGGACTCCCAGCGCCTTCTGCTGTAGGAACAGGCACCCACCTCTCCATCTGAGCAGACTAGAGAACCACACACCTCCCACTGTGCCCCAGGCAGGAGGGCGGCTGTCTAAAATGAAACCACAGTTGGGACTTTATTGTCCAGTCTCTGCCCGTCCCCCATGCACGACCCTGGGGCTGCTTCCTGCAGGGCCTCTCTGCCAGGCTCCAGCTCCTGGCTTGGTGACAGGCTGTTAGGCCAGTGGAGCTGCAGGCTGGGGACAGGAGCCAGAGAGGAAGGGCACTGAGCCACCCAGGCCCCACTCAGCAGGGCTGGGCTGCTGGGGCTACAGGAGCACGCCTGGGCCAGCCTGGACTCCAGTGTACTCCACGGGGCTGGGCTTCCTGGTGTCCAAGTTCTCTGGGAGCCGGATGAGGGGGACACAAGGAAAGCAGGGCACACAATGGTCCTCCACCGAGGTGAAGCTCCGGGGCTCCCTCTTGCCCACAGGATCACAGGTCCACTGGTCAGGACACTGGCCTGGAACCTACGTGAGTACTCCGTCACGATCAGGGCACCTCCCCCCTCTAGAAATGGGTGAGGCCACCAGCACGGGAGCCTGATGCTGTTGACAGCTGGTCAGAGCGCTCAGTCCTCCCACCTCAGCAGGCAGAGACGCCTCAGATGGACTGGGCAGGGCCCGCAGCTCACGAGGACCACAGCCAGCTGGTATCTGGGATGGCCCTTCCTGAGGCAGGGGCATCAGGGAGCAGGTGCTGCAGGGTCCCCTAGAAGGGCCACAGCTGCACTGAAGGCAGCCCTCTCCACTCACCCCTCCAGGGGCCTGGGTCTGCAGAGGGATGGGGCTCAGAGAGGAGAGAAGGCTCCCAGGTGTTGCTGGCCTCCAGGGCTGGATCCAGGGGCCACGCCACAGCTCCTGTCCAGATGGGCAGCTCATCTCTCCGGCAACAGCATGAAAAAGGCAGCCTTCAGGAAGCGGCCGAAACTGCAGAGCGCAGCCACCAGCCAGTGTGCCCGGAGGCCAGGGTCCGTGCTGACCACGCACCTGAGGACATCAGTCTGTGAGGGAACAGGGTACTGTCAGAGCAGAGCCCGGCCTCGCCAGCCCAGCACACTGTGACCCGCAGGCTGCCTGGGGCAGGAAGGCGGTGAGGGGGCTGGACTGCAGGAGGGAGGAGCTCAGGGTGGGGAAGGAGAGCAGCCACCTGCACCAGGGCTCCCAAACACCCTCCTGCTTGCCAGCTGCCCCAAAGGAGTCTCCAACAGCCTGGCGCCCAGGGCCACTGGACAGCTTCAGACCCGCCCTTGGAGTGGGAGCAGAGGCTGAGTTTTGCACAAGTGGAGACGCCCTGGGACGCGAGTCCTTCTGGAGGATGGTGCATGACTAGTCCTCACCCTCCCTTTCCTTTCTATTGCTAAGGAAAGGAAGGCTCCTCAGCTGACTCTGGCCACAGTGCTGCTCAGTGTCCTCTCTGCCGGGCACAGGGCGCCTGCCAGGGCTTGCAGACAAGACAACAGGAGGGGTCAGCAGCTTTGGTGTCTCTGCTGGGAATGCCAGAGCCAGGGGTCATTCTGGGAGTACACCCTCCCCGCAGCCCAGCCTCCAGTTGGGACCACACTCCCAGCTGACCCTTAACTCAACCTCATGAGACCTTGACTCAGAGGCTCAGTGGGGGGACTGAGCCCTGCCACCCCCTTTACAGGTGCAGCCCACCTCCATGCCGAGGTCCAGCAGTACCCATGGTATGCCCAGGCCCAGGTGGCCAGTCGAGCGTGGAGACCGGGGAGGTCTGACACCCACCCCTCTAGGCCTTGTGACCCTCCTCTCGTGGGGGGAGGCTAGGCTCCGAGGAGGTGAGGGTGCTCTGGGCAGGACCAGGATCTCCCCTCTGAGGGGGCCAGAGTCCTACCTCTCCCAGGTCATCTAGGGACAGCAGGTCTGCAGCTGGGACGGGGCAAGATTGGACTGGGGCGGGTGGCAGGGTCCAGGCAGCAGCAGAAAGCCCAGAGCCTGCGCCAGAGCGCTTTCCGCTCCCTCACCCTGCGTCAGGGACCCAGCTCGCCATAACCCCACCAGCTCCCACAGCCCCGCACCCAGGGGCTCACCCATCCACCACGCCGCCTCAGCCAGGCTGCCAGGGTCTTGCGCACAAACTCCCCCAGGCAGTCCACCAGGGCGTGGACCATGGCGGGCTGGGCCTGCCGCACACAGTCCACAGCCAGTCCTGCAGCCACTGCGTACAGGGATACCACTTTGCCCCACGTGATGCCTGCAGAGAGAGTCACTGGTGAGTGGCTGGTCAATGGGAGGTACCCAGAAGTCGTCAGGTGGCTCCCACAGGCCCGCACCCCGGTGGAACGAGGCCAGCTGATAGCCTGGTGCGAGCCTGGCCACCGTCTCCCATGGGCCAGTCCCGCCCACCCTGAGGGCAGACAAGGTTCCCAGCCCCCTGCACACCTGCACTGGCCCAGGAGGAAAACTGTCCAGCCTCATGGACAGAGGAGGCCTCAGGGAGGCAGCTCAGCACAGGGTCCAGCAGCCTTGGGGCTGGACGAAGAAAACAGCCAGGACTCCCAGGGCCCATTCATCCCTCTGCAGCTGGACAGCACCGTTGTCCATTTTATGAAGAAGCCAAGGCCCATGGAAAGAGCTTTCCCTGCACCACTAGCCCACGGAGCAGCAGAACTGAGCTGTGGCCACCTCGAGGAAGACAGACCAATGACCCTGGGGGAAAGTACTCTCAAGCCCCCTGTTAGATGCCTTCCTGAATATGTAAAGTGAGAGGCCCTGGGTTCCACCCCAGCACAGAGAAGAGCAAAGTGAACACAGTGAGGGTCTCAAAACAAGTGGAAGAAGCCAGACGCGCAGCATGCACACTGGGCGAGACCACCGTGCACGACCACCGTGCCCAACGTCCAGAACAGACGGGCAGCGACCACGCGGACCCGTGGCTTGGGCGCAGGGACGGTGGTGGGTCACCACACTGGAGTACCAAATTACAACTTCAGCCGGGGACACTGCCACACTCATCCCACCTCAACAGGAAGAAAGAGCTCTGAGCACTGAGCACAGACCATGGACCACCCTGTGTGAAACCCTTTCATCCTATCAGACAAACCCAAGTCTCAAGCCTGGCTGAGACGGCCCCATGGGCCAGCTGCTACCAGGACAGTGCACACGGTCAGCCCTGGTCCTCCATGGCTGAGCTCCCACCCCAGGACTCTGCTCGAGGTCAGCAGGGCAACAGGACCTCCTGACCATGCCCAGGCAGGTCTCTAGACCCACTGCCCTGTGCCCGTGGTGCCTGCCCCATGCCTGCAGCAGGCACTAGTAAAGAGAAAAGGCAGAGTGTTCTGTGGGGCCTGATGTGCAGAGAACAGCATGCTTCATGGGTGGCCACAATCCCACAGCTGGAGCCCACAGGGGCCAGCAGGAGGGGTGTCCAGGGCTGGTCTGGTAGCTCTGCTGGCCCTGGGTTTTTCTGTTCTCTTTTATTAAGACATCATTCCATTACCATAATCGTTCAGACATGGAGAATCGCATTCTAGACATTCCCACAGTTCACAGCTATCTAATTTCAGACCATTCCCATGTCCCCTGACCCATGGCTACTCCTAACCGACTTCCACCTCTGTGCTCAGCAGGATGCCAGCAGGGTGCTCGGGGTCCTGCCGTCCTGGTGCAGGGCACTTGTCCCTGTCCATGACTGAATGGTGTCCATATCTGTTTGTCAACAGAGGGACCTGTGGGCTGTTCCCACCTCTCTGCGTGTTTCCAGGTCTTGGGCATCTGCCTAGAGTTGCCAGGTTACACAGAAACTCCACATAATGCTTTGAGGACCTGTCAGGCTGTTTCCAACGTGCCCACACCACCTCTCCAGGTTCCGACGCTTCACACAGATGCCGTTACCTGCAGCTGCAGGTCAAGCCATCCTGGTGGAACGAGGATGCCTAATGGCTGGTGGTGCTGGATAGAGGCTCATGTGCCTGCTGGTCTTTGTGTGTGCACGTCTGGATGGAGTGGAGCCCAGGACCTGGAGCACTGGGCTATCTCTGCCCAAGGTACACCCCAGCCCTGTGGTGGCCACTTAGACATCGTCCTTTTCTTCACATGCATGCACAGAGACACACGGCACGAGGGACTGGGCCCCATCCCCAGTCTTCTTCACTCTGTTCTGAGCAGGGCCTCAATGAGCTGCCCAGGCTGGCTTGGAACTCACAGTCTGCCTGCTTCTGCCTCCCAGTGGCTGACCTGGGTTCGAGGTGTGCCCACCACACCCAGTTCCTCCGCTGATCTTTCAGGTGGGTGCCTTGTTGGTAGTGATTTCTAAGGGTTCCCTTGTTTTCCTGTCTTCTGTGGTAAGATATTCCACCACTGCTGACTGTTGACCAGAAAGGGAAATGAGCACGGGGCAGGGGCTGTGCTCAGCAGTAGAGTGCTTGCCTGGCATGGGCGAGACCCTGGATTTGATCCTCAGCACCACACAAAAACAAACAAGTACAATAAAGGTATTGTGTCCAACTACAACTAAAAAATAAATATTAAAGAAAGAAAGGAGCAGCGTGAAGGCAGAGCCCCGGGAGAGCACAGGCATGGCCCCAGTGGTCGCTGCTGCACCAGAACTGGGCTCTCCTGCCACCTGGGGCTGGAGACCAGGAGAAGCTCCACAGAGCCACCCCAGGGTGGCCGCAGCAGAGGAGGCCAGGGTGGCAGCGTCCCGGCAGGGATGAACCTGACGGGCTGCATTCCCAGCAGGAAAGCCGCCAGTGTGCCAGGCAGAGTGGGCACGCCACAGGCAGAGAGGGCTGCGAGGGCCCAGAGCCCCTGGGACTAGGAGGGCTGGGGTTCAGTGTGACAGGCAGCCGCAAGCTGGTCTGAGGAGTGTCCTAAGAGCCATCTGGCCACTGGAGAGGCAGACAAAGCCCTAATTCTCCCAGGCTCAGAGAGATCAAGAAATAGCTGCAGGTCACACAGTCCACATGGGGCTAAGGACACTGTCACAAGGGGCCTGAAGCAATGGGTTGAGGGGGGCAGGTGGCCTAGGCTCCCCCTGGACCCTATGAGGCAGCAGACCCCGGGGAGGAAATTAGTGCTACAGGACCCTCCCCTGCCAGCTTTCCTGCCTTCCTCCCCTCCACCCCAGCCTTGCGCAGGACCTCCCAGACCCAGCCTGTACGCTGCTGCTTTCTGGTTCAGGCTGAGGGCCAAGATGGGCTCCGCATCCCCGGGCCCCTCCTGGGCTCACACCCACCACCACTCAGGGCCCCAGCTCCATGGCAGACACCAGCAGGCCAGAGCCACACTTGAAAAATCAGGCCGTGGCTTGTAAAGCAGTCTGCTACAGGCCGGAGACAGACCCAGGAGGCCACCCACAGGGCACGATCTGGAGGGCAGCCCCAGGGTGGAGTGGGGTGAGGGTGCCACCAGCCCAGGACGCCTGTGCCCCAGGCTTCCTCCTTGGGCCCAGCCCACCCCAACACTTCATACTGGAGGCCAGGATGCTCCCTCTTGGACACTCCCCTTGGGCCCAGCACCTCACTATGAAAAGTCCAAGCCCGGCGGTGGGCACCCGGCCCACCCAGCCAACAGCCGGCTCTGCAGCCCCAGGACAGGGGGCCCAGCGGTCGTGCGGAGCAGGCCATGCCCACCAGTGCTGGACCACAGTTGCCTGAGAGGCCCATGCCAGCTGCCCAAGGGCCAGCAGCTCTCAGAACCACTAGAGACCACAAAAGCAGCACCATCTGAGCTGGTCTGTTCCCAGATTCAGACAACCCCAGCAGCAAGACGGGACTGTGAGCACCACAAGGCTGCCTCCTGGGGTCCCACAGCCACTGGAGGGGTGGACATGCCTACCTGCAGAGAAGATGTGGCCTGCCACAGCCAGGAATGCATCTGTCACCACGGGCTCCGACTGCATGGACAGGTGCAGCTGGCCGGCCACATTGCGGTACACACCGGGCCGGATCTGCTCCAGCTCATCCCCTGCATGGGCACACAAGAGGTCAGGCACCCCTGACTTTGCCTGACTCTCCAACCCCAGGGAAACAGGCCACGGAGGTGCTGTGGGTGCCTCTGACAGGCCAGGCCCTGAGGCCAAGCTGGCTGGGCCAGTGGGGTGGGAATCCTGCCCAGCGTGGGTGGTGTCTGCCTAGTGACTCACTGGCAGGCAAGCAGCCGGGCTGCTCAGGCAGGTGGCCAGAGCCCAACCTGGGGAGGGGCTGGGCAGGGAGACCCCAACAGGTGGGCGCCTCACATGGGGTCCTAGTCCAGGCCCCAGAACCCCTGGTGGTGGCTCTGGTGAAGGACCTGGAGAGACCAAGCCATGGCTGGGGGGCTACCAGCACCACCCACTCTCCAACTTGGGCTCCCAGTAGCAAGCGGGTGTGTCATGTGGCACCGAGTCAGCCCAGCCCTGTTGGGGGAAACGCCCCCCACAGGCCCAGCCTGCCTCGCTGGCGGCAGGCCCTTGAGGTGGGGTGGAAGCCCTGGGAAGACGGTGCTGGGAACCCCACACAGCCCTGGGTCGGGTGTCCCAGCCGGGCCACTTCTCCAGCCAAAGCAAACAGGGTGCTGCTGACTATCCAGTCAGCCAGTGAGAGCCTCCGGGACATCCCTGGGGCCAGCTGTGCTCCATCCAATTAATTAAGATCTGGAACCAGAGCAGAACCCAGAGGCCAGCCAGAGGATGGGGACATGGCATGGAAATTCCCAAAGCTGGCCTGGCTGTTCCCAAACACAGACCTTGGGGGCCCCTGGGGACTAGTCCTAGGGATTGATGTGGGACACAAGCCAGGCTGGGGACATGCTGGGGGTCAGCAGACAGTGCCAGGCTGTGGAGGCATTCACCCTGAATAGCTGAGATAGCAGACATTAATAAGAACACCTTGGAGTTCAAACTGCCTCCCTCCAGGGTCCCCTTTGGCTGGGGACATGGCAGAGCTGGGCAGTGGAAAGGGCCCTGGCCAAAGGCCTGTGGGGGGGAAGCAGGAATGAGGGAACAGAGGGAGACAGCAGGTCAGGGCCAGGCAGGATGTCTTCCCAGCCATCCCAGAGGTCTGGCAGGCTCTGGGGAGGACAAGGGATGTCCTGGAGTGGCCCTCAGCCCAGCTGGAAGAGGCAGCAGAAGTGGGTGTCACAGGACCCCACAGCCAGATTGTCCCCAAACTCCTGCACGCTGCTGCCTCTGCACACCTGAGATATGGCCCTCTTTCCCTTCCCAGATGAGATCCACCCTCCTGGAAGCTCAGTGCTGGTCCCCACATCATCTGACCCTCTACCCTGCACACTTCTGGGCAGGCCAGGTCTACACAGTCCTGCTCCTTGACCCATACACACCAGTGTTAGCCCAGGGAGCTGGGTACCCCCTGTCCCCAATGACCGGGCTCTGTTCACACCCACTCAGGCTCCTCCCCTGGCCCAGCGTCTGGCTGGGGCAAGGTGGACAGCCCAGGGCAAGAGTCTGCCTGTGTCTCCCTTCTGGGTGCAGACCCTGGGAAAGATGGGAGTTACTGGGCAGCCTGTGCCCCAGAAACAAGTGCTCCGGAACTTTCCCAGGGGCCGGCCTCCTCCAACCTCCAGATCAAGGGAAAAGAGCGACCAAAAGACCGATTTTCCAAAACAAACATCGGACACGTGGTCCCACAAAGGATTTTTGAGCCCTGCTGAGTACAAGGGTCACTCTGAAGCTCAGACACTAAAACATCATTCTTTCTGGAGCTTTCTATGGTTTATGGCGAGAATGACTGAAATCTGAGTCAAGCAAGCGAAGGGCTAGAGGTGGGGGCTGTGCCGGCGGGTGCAAGCTGGTCATCCCGAGAAGGCGGGCCTGTCCTGCGCCTCGGCCGTTCCAGGCACAAGGGGGCACGCGGGCAAGCCCCCTCTCTGTCCCGGAGAAACGGAGGCTCAGGGGTGTAACCAACTGGCGCAGTCGCCCGACAGGCGTGCCAGCGCAGGCTCAGCGGACCCCAGACTCGGCGGGCCCGCCCAGCCGGCCGGGTCTGGAGTGACAGCCGGGGACCGCCCGCAGGGCCCGCACTCACCCAGGCGCAGCAGCACGGCGCACACCTCGGCCAGGCGGCCGCGGGGGGCCGGCGCCGCACGCTCCGGCGCGCTCCAGGCGAGGCCGGCGCGCAGAAGCCGCGCGTGCACGTACTCCCGGCCTAGCGCCTTGGCCTGGGCCACCAGCTCCTTGTCGGTGGGCGAGCGGTCAAAGGCGTCCATGATCTCGGCGGCGAAGACCGAGGAGCGCCGCAGCACCTCCATGACCGGCACGCGGGCGGGGGGCGCCGCACCTGTGGGCAGACAGCGCTCAGCCGGGCTCACTGGCTGGCCGCGGGGAGGCCGGGCGCGGGACACCGCGGTCCCCACCGCGTGCGCCCGGGCCGCGTCGGCGCGGCGAGCCAGGGCGCACCGGGAGGCCGGGCTGGGCGCGGTCCTCAGGAGGGGCCGCGGCCGGCTGCCGGCACCCTTGCGTTTTTGTGCCCCGATCTTTACAAACACGATGTTATACGCTTTGGGATTCCAAACTGAATGACAGCGAACTCCCTGGGGCCGCAGTGCTCAAGCTCCAAGACGAGCGGGCGGGCGGGCGGGCGGGGACGCGGCGCAGGCTGCCCAGCCGGCTCGGAACGCGCGCCGTCCAGCCGGGACCCGCTGGCCTGCAGGCTCCGGGGCCGCCGCCTCCGCACCCCGCGGCCCCGCGGCCAGGCACCGGGAAGCCCGCTCACCTCTCCCGCCGCATGTCGCGGGCGCGCAGGCTTCAGGCTGTGCTCCGCGCCTCCTCCGCCGGCCTCCGGCCTTCCATTCGCGCCAGTCCAGCGTGCGCCCGGACCTACGCGCAGGGTCCCGCCGCTTCCCGCGCGCTGGGGCTTCTGGTCCCAGCCGGGCCGCGCGGAACGCACCGCGCGACGCCCGCCTGCGAGAGGCGAGGCTGGGGCTTGGCCTTCTAAGGAGAAGGCAACCCCCGGGGGCGGAGCCCGGAGCTGCGGCCCGAGCGCCCCAGCCTCCCGGCTTAAGGAGGCCCGGCGAGTTCCCGGGAGGCCGGGCACTTGGCTGGCTGGGTGGGTGCGCCCGGACTCGTGTCCGAGGACTGCGTCGGACACTTAGATTTTTACTGTAGCAAAGACACCTCGCACTGGGTTTGCTTTTAACGAACAGGAGTTCTTGTTAATGAAGTCCAGTCTCTTCAATCAATGTCTTCTTTTGCGGTTAGCCGCTTTTATTAGAGTGTTCTCTGTTTCCTATTAGAAGCTTAAATGACTTAGGGTACACAGTTAGATGTATGATGGATCACAAGTTCTTGTAAATGGCGTGGCAGGAGGTCAGAGATCTATTTCGCCCTTTTGGATTTCCAAGTAACCCAGCATCACTTATTGAAAGCATCATATGTAGGGGTCTGTTCTATCCCACTCACCTATTTCTTTATCTTTGGACCAATCTCACACAGTTTGAGCAATAGAGTTAACCAATTTGATCTAATTCATGTATATGAAACACTTGAGTCAGCAACTGTAAAATACATATCCTTTCCATGTGCATATAGGGCATTTACCAAAATAGACCATATCTTGGGTCATAGACAAGTGACAGCGAATTTCAAAGAATTGAAATCCTATAGTGTGTCCTCTCTGAATTAAAGCTAAATTACAGGAAAACTACTAGAAAGTCACTAATTGCTTGGAAGTGAAATGCCATACTTGTAAATAATCAGGGGTAAAATAATCGAGATGGAAGTTGTAAAATATGTTCAAGTAAACAGAAGCAAAATATCACACATCCTTTAAGTGCTAAAGTGGTACTTTAGCTGTAGAGAAAAAGTTGAAAATTAGTGCTTCAAGCTCCAACTCGAAAAGCTACAAAAAGAATGACAAACTCAAAGAAGAATTAAGAGCTGAAAGTAAAGAAAAAGCAGAAAACAATAACAAAGACTTTTCCAAAAAAAATCTATGAAATTCAACGAAGATGAAAGTTGGTTCTTTGATGAGATCAATATAATTGATAGGAAAGATTGAGTAAAAGAAAACAATTCCACTCTCAGGAGTGCTGCAGGCATAGAAAGGGTCAGAAGAAGAGGGCGTGAACAACTTGATGTTGAACATTCTAGATGAACACAACATACAAAACTGACATTAGAAGAGGCTGAACACCTGGAGAGTCCTATATCATTAAATAAATTCAGTGCATGATTTGAAATCTTCTCAAAATGACAATTTTAGTTTTAGATTGTTTCATTGAGGAATTACTCTAAATAGTTGAAGAAATATCTTCAGTTTTACACAAACCTGTCCAAAATACAGAAAATGAGGATATATTTCCCAAAATCATTTTGTGAGGACAATCTTGCAGTCCAAAACTGCTGAGCACACTGTGGGATGCTAAGAGGCCTGTGGACCATCTGCTGTGGCATCTGTGGAACAGAGAAAAAAAACACCTAACTCATGTGGTCTCTGATGAATCACTGATTTATGTAAAAAATCATCCTGTAGTAAGTGCCTGTTATCTGTCTTTGCACCAAAGCCATTGTGCTAAAAAACGAAAGAGTAAATTTGAATGAAAAAAGTTTTTTCCCCAGTTCTGGGGATTGAAAATGTATTGAGACCTTTTTTATTTTTATTTTATTTTATTTCTTTTTAGATAGGGTCTCACTAAGTTGTCCAGGTGGCCTCAAAATTGCTACCACCATCTCAGATCACCAAATCAGTGGGATCACAGGTTTGTGCCCCTACCCCAGCTTAATGAGCTCTTTAATGCAGAGCTGAACACAGAATGTCTTGAATTTCTGAAGAGCACTCAGGATTGTGATTTCCTGTAGTTTATACATAGAAATACAGAAGCTCAGAGCAGGAAAGAGACTGATCCTTGGAATTGCTGCAGGCCTGCCACAGCCAGACTGTGTGCCTTGGTGGTGACCCCTGGGAAGGGCAGTCCTGACCTGAGTGTGGTCGCTCACACCCGCTCCCGGCCTCCTGCAGGCAGCTCCAGCCCCATTCACAGCCTCAGTTTTCTCCCATGCAAAATGGACTCATGTGCTCTGCTTCCTGTTTCCTGGGCTCTGGCATAGCCATTGAATCATGGGGCACGGCAAATCAGGGGACACAGCCCCTCTCCTCCAGGAGCTGGAGAAACCAAGTTAGCACCAAGCCCCAACGTGTCCCATACAGAATACTGACAGGAGCAGGAATTGAAAATGACCCAGGTGGGGTTGAGCCAATGTGACCACAAACCCTGTCCAGACCTTTAAAAGGCCAGTTTGTGCTGCTGTCAGCAGGGTCTCCCAGTCCTTTGAACCTAGAGGTGGCTGGTCTGATCCACCCAGTTGCACCCCAGCTGCCAACTCCCCAAGATTATTTTGACTTCTCTTTCCTCCACTCAACCTGGGCTTGGAATTCATGTGGCTGTGGAATTCATGCTCTCCATTCTTGTCTTGCATCTGATGGCTGTGTCTGCCTGGTGTTGACCCAGGTTGGAACTCAGTCCCTGGTTGGTGATGAGCCTTCTGAGTGCCAGCACGAGCCCAAACTGGCTAGGGCACTGGGAGGTTTGTTGATTTGTGTGACTAAGACTTCCAGCGAGGTCTGCTGGTTTCAGGCATGGCTAAATCCAGGAGTCTGTCCATCTGTGGATCTGTGTTCTGCTTTGATGAATTTCCTTCATGTAGACTGTCCAGGAGCCACTGCAGGATAACTTCCACAGATCCCTGCCTACACACCATAATTTCAGTCTAACAGTGAAAAAACGCCAGTCTTTCCAGGTAGTTTCTGGGAGGGGTGAGGATATCCTGGGGCGGGGGGGGGGGGGGGCAGTTTCTGTGTCACGTCCTTCTCTGACCCAGCTGTGGCTGGGGGCAGGAAGTGTTCAGTTGCCAGGCCTGGGTCACATCTGGCCCTGGACAGGGACAGGGGCTGTCGATTCCACGCGGACTCCTGTGGGAAGTGGCAGAATTTCCACAAAATCCCTAACCCCAACCCTAACCCTGAGTCATGGATCTTGTGTGGGGAGCAGAGGGGTCCATAGCCCAGTGCCTCCCGCATTCATGACCCAGATCCAGCCTGCTTCCCCCTGTCTCCACCCTGCTGGCCCCTATAACTTCTGTTTGCTGTACACATGGGCACTGGCCTTCCTGCTCAGGCCCTGGCACAGTCGGGGGCAGAGGGAGGGTCAGGCGACTGTGGCTTTGTGTAGCCTTCCCCATGGCGGACAGTGGGTCCCCCAGCAGAAGGGTGCTTCCTCTCGGTGGCCACCTGACCTGGCAGCAGTAGATCCCAGCCAGCTCAAGTGCACTGTCAGCCATTTTCTTTGCCTGATGGGCTTGGGGCCAGTCTGAGGCTTGGTTCCTACTCTGGGGTGGGCAGTGGGGTCTGCTGGGGTCCTGGGGAGGTTTGGGGAGACTTCTCCCTGCGCTTGTGATTTCCGCCCCCGCAGGGAGCCCCATCCCGGGGCAAAGCCTACTGCTCTGGCCAACAGAGAGGGGAGCTGCGGGGGCTGGCAATGGTGCGGAGCTGGCATCAGCCCCAGGGAACAGGGGACACAGAGTCCTTGGACTCTGGGGAGCTGCCTCACCAGGACTGGGCTTTCCCCTCCCCTGATGGCCATCAGAGAGCTCCTTCACCAGGAACCAAGCAGCTGAGCCAGCAGCCAGCAGGCCCCTCCCTCTGGGGAGCAGCCTGCACACGCTCTGGGCTTGGCGGACACCGAGCAGGGCCAGGCCTGCCTTGAGGCCCGTCCAGCGGGATTGGCGGGCCCACGAAGTCGCTGCAGGTCTTGTCCTCGCCAGGATGGGCATGCTCAGAGCATGCAGGAGCAGGGAGCCTCCTCTGCAGCTGATGGCCAGGAGCCCGCTGTAACAGGCAGCTGTGCCCAGCAGTGTCACAGGAAAGGCCTGAGGGAGATGGGAGGGGAGACCACCCTGGAGTGGGCAGGGCCCCTGCCTGGCCCCACTGCTCCCGGGTCCCCCACAGCCACACTGGAGGCTCTGTGCTCACAGGGTCAGTCCTCCTCCGAGGCATTACCACCTAGGCCCCTGAGCCGCCTGTCTGTGCTGCCAGCCACCCCCAAGTCAGTGTAGGCCACTTCCTGAGCCCAGCCCCATAAGGGTACTGAGCTGGCAGCGTATGCATGGGTACAAAATGGGTGCATTGGGCAGTGTGGGTGGTCTGCATGGGCACGAAAGGGCTGGGTGTTCCAGAAGGGGCTGGAGCCTTTGAGTACAATGGGCCACCGTGGGAATAGAAGGGCCTGGTGTTCCCTCTGGGTCGCCTTCCTGACCGTTGCATGGCCTGCTTGTCTGGT